CAGGAGGTCCCTGTCCTCTGGGTTCAGGACCAGGAGGTCCCTGTCCTCTGAGGTTCAGGACCAGGACGTCCCTGTCCTCTGGGGTTCAGGACCAGGAGGTCCATGTCCTCTGGGTTCAGGACCAGGAGGTCCCTGTCCTCTGGGNTCCCTGTCCTCTGAGATTCAGGACCAGGAGGTCCCTGTCCTCTAGGTTCAGGACCAGGAGGTCCCTGTCCTTTGGGTTCAGGACCAGGAGGTCCCTGTCCTCTGAGGTTCAGGACCAGGAGGGTCCCTGTCCTCTGAGGTTCAGGACCAGGAGGGTCCCTGTCCTCTGAGGTTCAGGACCAGGAGGGTCCCTGTCCTCTGANGTGTGTGTGTGTGTGTGTGTGGGGTGTGTGTGTGTGTGTGGAGGGGGTGTCAGATAATGAATTTAGTCCCTGAACTTGATTTCTTTAATCACTGCATGTCCCTTTTTCTGTTAATTGGAGATAATTATAGGATTTAATTTTCTTATGTAGGTTAGAGGAGAGGGAGAAGTCAGAGCGGGTAGAAGAAATGATGAAGATGAAGACGAAGAGGCCGACAGCCTAATACTGATGAAAACTCATTCTGTAGTTTCAAGTCTGAAACTAAAAACAAACATTTCTGTTGAATCAAACTGAGTTTATCTGTTCCAGTTCACATGTTTCAGGTTTAAGATAAACTAGTTTTTATCTCCTCTGTTGAATCATCACCTTATCGTGGTGAAGGAGTTTGTGTGTCTGAARGATCCTAGGAGCTGTGCTGTCAGCTGGCAGGGTCTCCCATGGCAGATTGGTCCCAGGTGACAGGACAGACAAACGAGTCAACAGACTCTTATGGACAAAACAGATCAAAGAACTCAGTGTCCTTTACCTGGATGTGGGTTACCAGGGCCCCACCCTGGAGCCAGGCCTGGGAGAGGGGCTTGTTCGTGAGCACCTGGTTGCCGAGTCTCTACCCATGGGACCTGGCCAGGCTCAGCCTGAATGAATAAATGTGTTTGTCTTCCTGTGGGCCCACCACCTGCAGGAGGGTCCGTATGAGTCAGGTGCAGAATGCCATGGGCAGTAGCCAAAGGCAGGGACCTTAGCGCTCTGACCCTGTTGTACCAAAACTAGCTCTTGGGACATGGAACATCACCTCTCTGGTGGGGAAGGAGCCTGAGCTTGTGTGTAAGGTTGAGAGGTACCGGCTAGATGTAGTTGGGCTCATCTCAACGCACAGGATGGGCTCTAGAACCAGTATCCTCGAGAGGGGCTGGACTTAAATTCTACTCTGGAGTTGCCCATGGTGAGAGGTGCCGACCTGGTGTGGGTCTACTTTCCTTTCTGATTTCCTTGAGGCTCTGATGTTGTGGGGCTGTCCTGGTTGACATGTCTTTGCAARACCATGTGGACATCAGGGGCAGTGCCACTGGACTGACAGCCTGGGTTGGTGGTTCCTTTCTTTCAAAAGGGGGACCGGAGGGTGTGCTCCAATTACAGGGGTATCACTCTCCTTAGCCTCTAGGTAAGGTCTTTTCAGGGGTACTAGAGAAGAGAGTTCGACTGATAGTCAAACCTCAGATTCTGGAGGAACAATGTTGGTTCCTTCCTGGCGTTGGGGACGCTGGACCAACTCTTTACCCTCACTAGAGTCCTTGAAGGGTCATGGGAGCTTGACAATGCAGTCTACATGTGTTTTGTGAACTTGGAGAACACATTCGACCATGTTCCTCGAGGTACACAGTGGGGGTGCTAGGTGAGTATGGGATTGTGGGTCCGAATGCGAACCAAACTCTCACTGTTTGTTACGAGCCATTCAGGCTCTATACAAACAGTGAGAGTTTGGTTTGCATTGRCAGTAGTAAGTCGGACACTTCACCCCGCCAGGGGGTGGAGGGAGTCCGGTTTGGTAGCCTCAGGATTTCCTCTCTGCTGTTTGCAGATGATGTGGTTCTGTTTGCGTCCTCGAGCCAGGATCTTCAGCTCACACTAGAGTGGTTCACAGCTGAGTGTGAAGCGGCTGGGATGAGGATCAGCACCTCCAAATCTAAGTCCTTGGTCCTCAGTCGGAAAAGGGCGGATTGCCCTCTCCAGGTTGGGGGTGAAGTTCTGCCTCAAGTGGAGGAGTTCAAATGTCTCAGGGTCTTGTTCACGAGTGAGGGAAGAATGGAGTGTGAGACTGATAGACGGATTGGTGCAGCTTCTGCAGTTTTGTGGACTCTGTACTGTCTGTTGTGGTGAAGAGGGAGCTGAGCTATAAGACCTCTCTGTTTACCGATCAATCTACATTCCTACCCTCACCTATGGTCATGAACTTTGGGTAGTGACTGAAAGGACAAGATCACGGATACAAGTGGTCTCAATGAGTTTTCTCCACAGGGTAGCTGGACTCTCCATTAGAGATAGGCTGAGAAGCTCAGTTATTCAGGACAGACTCAGAGTAGAGCTGCTGCTCCTCCACACCCAGAGGAGCCAGTTGAGGTGGTTCATCTGGTTAGGATGCCTTATGGACTCCTCCCTGGTGAGGTGTTCTGGACACGTCCCACTGGGAGGAGACCCAGAGGAAGACCCAGGACACGCTGGAGGGACTATGTTTCTCAGCTGGCCTGGGAACACCTTGGAGTCCTCCCAGAAGAGCTGGAAGAGGTGTCTGAGGAAAAAGAGGTCTGAGCTTCCCTGCTCAAGCTGCTGCCGCCAAGACCCAACTTTGGATAAAGTGGAAGATAATGGATGGATGGATGGATGGATGGAAGGATGGATGGATGGATGGATGGATGGATGGATGGATGGAAGGATGGATGGATGGTTTTTATCGCCCACCAGAGTTTCAGATCATTGAGTAATGACTCTCAGCTACTACCACCTTCAACTTCTGTCATGTGCTTCATTAGATATTTTACTAACAGACACACAAAGTGAAAGGCAATATATGGCCTGTATGTGTTGAATAATTGACTTTATTTCTCCTTATTTTCTTCATTTTCAGTTTCTAGGTAAACTGATGGCTCAAAAACTGCAGTTTGTACCTGTTCAGTGCTTCACATGGCTTTCTGAAATGTGTAATATCTTTCTGTAATGTGTAATATCTTTCTGAAATGTGTAATATCTTTCTGTAATGTGTAATATCTTTCTGAAATGTGTAATATCTTTCTGTAATGTGTAATATCTCCCAGTAATGTGTGATATGTGAGCAGTTTGGGACAAAGTGGAAGTGTGAAGGAGATGTTAGAGCTTTAATGTGTGTCTCCACAGACGGAGCAGAAGCTAATTTCTTGTTCTGCCTCTCCATTACCTGCAGAAATATAAAGAAAACACAAGTATTTGTCTTGGAAATGGACAGCGCGTTCAGCAGAGCAGACTCATGGCCCTTTGTATTGAAGAAAAGCCTCGTCGATGCGGTCAAACGGAGCCTTTATGAAGAAGTGTCCGTGTCTCCTCGGCGCTCCGGCTCCAAGCGGGACGTGTCAGAAAACGAGCGGCGCGTCCGGTAATTTGAGTTTATTTATGTGATGTGTGACAGCGAAGATAAAGTGGGGCGCTGCAGTGAAGCACTGATTGATCTTTCACAGGCAATCAGGAGGAGCAGCCAGCAGAAAATAGGCCGGCYGCGTCTGAAGGGCTCGTCTAAACGGGGATTACCCGACACCGAAGACCTGTTTCTGAACCAGGACTGTCTCACTGTTAGACGTGAGGAAAAGACTTTGCATGTGTAAAAATATTTAATACGGACAATAAAGAGACTTCCTGCAGCACATTTAGCTTCCATCTGCACTTCGGCTGCTAAGTGTGACCGGACTTATTTAGTGAAAACAGGGAAGATGAAGCAGATGGTTGTTTCCTGCTGGAKGCCTCAGTTAACACTCTGACTTGTGCCTGCATCCAGGAGAGCTGGATAAACACACACAAACTGATTTAAAGTTTGTTCTTCAGTCTGTGAGGCAGGTCAGAGATTAAACTAAAGGTTATTTAACCAACAGCAAAGACTAGTTTCTGTGGAAAAATACAGAAATTATTATTTAACACTTCAAGATGGCTGTCGTGGTGWTGAGTTCAGAGGTTTGGATGGGGTCCTCAGTCCTCCTGGACCTGCTGTCTTCAGGACAAGTTTGAKGTTTAAATTTTATCTGACAACAGTTGGTCATTTAATGAAGGGAAATTCTCCCTTCAAAGTCACACTGAACACTGTGGTCATAAAGGATGGACATGGTCAGAAGATGGTACACTGTGGTCATAAAGGGATGGACATGGTCAGATGATGGTACACTGTGGTCATAAAGAGATGGACATGGTCAGCAACAATACTCAGGTAGGTTGTGGTGTTGACATGATGCTCAGTTGGTACTAATGGACCCAAAGTGTGTCAGGAAAATATCCCCCACACCACTGCACCACCACCAGCCTGAACTGTTGATACAAGGCAGGATGATCCATGTTTTCATGTTGTTGATGCCAGATTCTGACCCGACCATCCGAATGGGCAAAAATGGCCCATTCACCAGTATGTCTGGGCAGTGCTTCAGAATGAAGTAAATGTAACTGAACAAACCTGTTACTGCAGCTCTGAGCTGAAGCAGTTTAAAGCTACAAACCTCCAAACATTTGAAGTTYAATAATAAAACTCGTGGATGAAAWGTAAACCAGATCAGCTGCAGGATCAAAGTCCAGCAGCTGGAGGTGTTTGTGTCCTGATTCTGACTGAATCCACTTGATTTCAGCCCTTTTCTCCGACTTCAAGCAGTGAAAACTACAACAGTATTTATACTTTTATCTTCTATTAAATAACTTTGTTGCTTTTAAAGAATCAGTTTTATCTTTGCTCTTATAGATTTTATTTCTTTTTATTACAGTTTTACCCATTTGGAACTGTGCAAACACAGCTTTTTATTTCAATGCAAACAGGCCGGTGGAAAAGCAAACAAATCTGTACTAATCTAATCTATAATCTAATGTAATCCAGGAGAGGCTTCAGCTTCAGTCTTTATTCTTTTAGTGGTTTTTTCTTTCTGTCATCGTCACATCCAACATGTCGGCCTGGAGCCCGAGCCTCAGAAGCTGCTGCTGGGCCGCCGCTGCCTCCTCCTCCTCCTCCTCCTCCTTCTTCTCCTCTCGGTTTTATCTGGAGCTTCTTAATTGAGTCGCAGTGTGACGAGGAGGCGGCGAGGGATGGAGCGGAGAGGAAACTGATGTTCCTAGATGTGGAAGACAGTTGTGGGAGGGCTGTGATGAAAAAATAATGATGCTAGTTACATTCTATRACACAAAATATGGAATCTGGCAATGAAGTCCCCCCACAACACTTCCTCCTAATATCACCATCATCCACTGCTGCTGCCACCGCCGCAAGGAATTCTGGGACATCACACAGCGAGGAGCGCACACACACACACACACACACACACACACACACACACACACACACACACACAGAACAGAAGTTTTGTTCAGTCTTGTAATTTATGCTGCCTCTAATGTATTTTTCAGGCCGTGTTTCACCTCATTATGGATTTTACTTGTGAGTTGTGGAGCTGCAGAACTCGTTAACTCCCAGTTAATATAGTTTTTTATGGTTGTGTTAGTATCAACGCCCTCATTATCCACTCAGACACTTTATCTGTCCCACCTTACCAGTTGGACACGTTTTGCTTGAAGAGATGTGAGCCGAAACCAGAGGAGGAGGAGCAGAAACTAAAGATGATTTTTATTTTTTTACATCAGATTTAAAAAAAACAAAATAAAAAAAACGTGTTGTTTCATCAGTTTGTTRGTCTCAGAACAGATTCCAGCTGGATAAAGAAATAAAAACTACAAACATGGCAACCTTTGCTGCAGTTGACATGTTGTCCCTCTGTGAAACCTGGTTCCTGTCAGGAACTGGTCCGGTCTGGTCCTCATGTCGGAGCAGACTGGGCTCGGGGGTCATGAAGGTGGGGTTCAGGGTCAGGGTTGGAACACAGAGCTCTTACTTTGAAAGTTGGCGTGTGACAAGCATTTCCTCTGTGTTCAGTCACAGCTTCCTCTTTCCTCAAACTTTCCTTTCTTAACAGTTTTCTTTATTTCTTTAGTTTGGTCGTATSAACGGCTCAGATTCTCTTTGTTCTCTTTTCATTTCTTCATCTTTTCATCCTGAATGAAGTGAAGTGATGTTGCTTTTGCTGCTCCTCATTTAGCGTGTTTCTAATTATATTCAGCCTTTTCTTCTTGTGCAGCTGCATGGACACGTCTCCCTGCAGGAATCGATAAAGTTTCATTTAACGTGAGGCTGATGAGGTCGTGTCAGGCTCAGCGAGGAGCTCTCGCTGCTTTATTTAGTGCAGATTTGAAATCGACTTCACTTCTACCGTCCTGCTGCTTTCCTTTGAAACGCTCGAGCCTTTTCCTCGCACGTTTGTGATGCGACTTAATCTGATTTGAAGGGAAATATTTGTCCCCGCTGCCCCTTTACAGCAGCTAATTTTATTGTGTGTTTGCCGGCTGCGTGCTGAGCTGGGAGCACTGGATCCAGTCAGCTGCCTGTCTTTATCCTGCTGACCTGCAGCCGCTCACACATTCCTGTGAAGCTGAAACACGCAGCAGGTCAGGAGCTGAGGGACAAACAGGAAGTGNGCCGCCATGTGATTGGCTGATTAGAAATTAAGTGTTAACGAGCAGTTGGACAGGTGTACCTAATAAAGTGGCYGGTGAGTGTATATGTCTGTGTTTTCTGCTGTGGCAGCCATCTTGATTTGGGTTCAGTTGTAGATGAAGAACTAATGGTTATTTCCTGAAAACGGTATTAAAATTCATTCGTTGGTTAATAAGATATTTAGCAAACAGACAGAGTTGACCACAAAAAATACTCACAAAACAAATTAAAAAAATGTTAGATAATGAAATATATGTTGAAGATCAGTCTCAGCTACCACACCAGCAATAATCTCTCTCACAGTTTCTGTATTGTTAAATCTTCTGACTAGAAAATTATTTTGACTTTTTTAAGAAAAAACTTGGTCAGGTTGAGACAGAACAGAATGTGAGGTTTATTATCTTGCAGTTTATTGACCAAAGTATATACCTTACAATGTTTTTAATTGTGGAACTGTTCTGTTTAAATTTGAAAATAAAGGTTTAGTTCAATTCTAACACAAAAAGAGTGCTCTGTAACTATAAAATCCTTCATAAAAATTCCACTTTGCTTTCAATTTTCACGTCATCTTGGTTTCCTGATTCTCTGTGCTACACTCCTTTAAGGAGCTTTCACTTCCCAAACATGAATAACTAAGAGGCCGTTTTTTTTTACTGTAACTTCTTGAGTTAAAGCCTCCAATGAAGTCCTTCACTTTAGCTGTTTGCAGAGCATTTTTACTGTTTATTTCATTTATCTCGTAGTCTCATCTGTCACAGCAGATTGATTTGCAGACACATTGTGATTGAGCTCGCATTCAATTCAGATAGCTTTTTTCTAAATTTCTTTGAAATGTTCATACAAAACTCTAAAATATCAAAGTGTGTTAAAAATTACTTACCTGCTGCTGTTGAAGGTGAGACTGAGACATGAGCAACTGTAAAGAAGAGGAAGTCGTTTTCTTTTGCATAGTATGTAGAAAAACTTAAATGTAAATAAACCCCTTCTATAAACCTTATTGTGCGAGACACTAGCAGAAGAAAAAACAAACTCACCGACAGCCAGAATAAAGAGGAAGTTTCTCCGTTCAGTGTGCTTCATGACTGAGATGCAAATTCTCTGAAACCCAAGTCACGAGCAAAGAAAAAAAACTGAACTGAACGTTGTGTGGCCGAAAGATTTCACACATATTTCCCCACAAGTACAGAGAAGAAAAAAAACTGCAGATGCCAGTAATTTATTTTGACACTAGTAATTTTGACTAGTAGAAAGATTAATGTAACATTTGCAGCTCTACTTCTGTTGCAGAGTATTATGTTTTATATTTATATTTAATATTTAAATGTATGATGAGGTTATCTGTGCTGGTTTGGTATTTAAACGACAGTTTATGTGGCAGAGTGGGCGGTGTGTGTGTGTGTGTGTGTGTGTGTGTGTGTGTGTGTGTGTGTGTGTGTGTGTGTGTGTGTGTGTGTGTGTGTGTGTGTGTGTG